CCAGCTCCTTGATGAGGTCCTGTCACGTTTCAGTGAGGTATGGCAGGATACCAGCAGAGAAACCACGAATTTGCCATGGAAGGATACACTTCAAATTTTACCGTCACTCGTAGGCGAAATACCTGCCCTTGTTGGGAGACACATTCCGGAGACGTTTTCCCTACATAAGGAGCACGTTCCACATCTGTTGTGGTTGTCGCTGCTGCACGGAGAGAACCTACATCCCCTCAAATATGCCCTAAAGCTTTTAAACAATATGGTTATTTTGGACAATGATCGAACGGATTACCGTCGATTATCGTCATTTTACAAAGCATTCGATTCCTCCGCCAATCTCACAATTGAGGACTCAAAGCGTCTCTTCGTTCTAATGGAGAGCCCTCAATATTACTGGTTTTGGCAGACATGTAAATTAGGAATCCTCCTTGCATTGGGGATTGTAAAGTGGCCTACTGCATTGCTTCCTAACTCAAGATATGTGGAGCTCCTAATCTATTCGTTGGAGGCTCCGAAGCCTTTACATATCCGTGAAGTCGCTTTACAAGCAGCATGGTGTTATCGCAATCAGCTGGAATCTATATCTGATAACTCTCTTCGTATTCGCCTTCTCTCTGCGTTGGTAACGGCCGCTGCATCATTGGAACTATGGCCTTTGATCGAGGAAGACAATGCACATATCCAACGACTGACTGGCCACCTTAGCTTAATTCGCTCTATTTGTCGGTATTCTCATTGGCACCATAATTGGACAGATTATGAAAATATTACGAAATTCGTAAGTCAGCTACCAAAATTTACGGTGCAGCATGATATGAGGATCGGGGTGGACTATTTATTGAATACGCCGATCGATCCTTATTACGCCACGGCAGATTTGTTTCATACAACACAGATACTCAAGGAAACACTTTCCCCATCATCAAGCACTGAAGAGAAACTTGATTTATGGGGGAAACCGGCCGTCGTCTCTGTCTGGCAATTTATTTCCTCGCGTAGTCAAGAAGATCACTTGCTTTCGGTCGATTATCGGACAAGGATACCAACTGAAGGAGATCCTTTCAGAATAACGGACGAAACATTCTGGCAAGCGTTGTCGACTATATGCAATTGGTCTGTTCACAGAATATTGGAGATCGATTCAATGTGGGTTTCCGAAGTGTCTAGGCACGTCGAAGCTATGTATATCAGCGTAATGGAATATCAATCCATTCGATCCACACAAGCTACTAAAAGTAAACATTTCAAACATAATGAAAAACGGATTATTCAGTCATTGACTGAGCTCAAGTCTCGCTTAGACGGGTTTTGGATAGGTGAAAAGGCATGAAGATAATTGAATTTTAGGTTTATTCCCCCTTTCTTCATATTCGCTTTGCGGACGCAATGCATGTTGTAGTTTAATTGTAGTCTTATTGTACGTTATGTAAAGATGATCTGCATCAATTACATTTAGCGGACCGTAGAATAGAGTACTCAGCGGGACAATTATATGTCCATAATCGTTTAACTCTGGGACATCAAGCAAAGCTCGGCTCATGTGCATCCATTTTAGACGGTTGATAAGGTCAAAAGTGTAATTATTTGAAACATATCTGGTTAACATTCGACCACAAGCGATGTACATGCAAAAGGAAAGGCTAGCCGTACGTGAGAAAGTCGAAGGCGCAAAAAGGATTCCGACACGGGGAATCGAACCCCGGGCTATCGCGTCCTACCTGAGAGGCGATAATGTTAGCCACTACACCATATCGGATTATTGCTGATGTGTACATATATATATATTCGTCAGTTCAAAAAGCATTAGCAGAGCTGAAGAAAGTGTACCCTATAATTTCAAGGACATGATCGGTGACGCGACTTCCTGAGAATATACATAGTTACGGAGCTCTGTAAATCTTCCTCTTGGACGAGAATAAGCCCAAGACAACTGAAGGGTGGGAAGACGTGAAGATATTAGTTTGCTTCATGTTCACCGTTCAGCTTGGAACTTTGACCACACACTTTCTCCGATATTGCAAGCATTAACAGTTCACCTACCGAGGTCATGAGATAAATTCAGAATAAATTCCTTGGGACTCAACAGTTGTCTTCATTGTCTGTCTCCTTCGGCGCTGCCTGAGCTTTCAGACTTTGAGTGAGACCCAGCACATGCCACGATGCCAGTAAACATCTTAGTCTCATAATAATCCTACGATGAATCTTCAAGCTTCAAGCTTCACAATCCAAACCTGTTGGACTCATCGATGCATTGCATTAATGATTATTACCTTATGAAAGGTTTCCTGGGAACACATCGAAGATTTCTGTCTTAGTGTCTAAACGAGCATACTGATATGCCTAATAAGTGACTGAATTATTAATCTCTGAACCGAGGCAAGATAGTACGGCAGAGTTTATTACCACAGAGCTGACCAGGATGAAGTTGCTTGATGCTTTGACTGATTGGCGATATCAACAGCCTGAGGATTATGGTACATGGTTGATTGTTGTCGTTTGTGTTCTTTCCAAAATTGCATTCTAGAACTTAAAGCATGAGTATCATACTCAGAGAATAATGTGAAAGACTGGCGCAAGCTTAAGTTTAATCAAACAACGAAACTTGGGGCTGTTTGTGAAGGTTTCATTCGAACTTAACTTGGAGTGCGTCCCACGGCCGACTAAGTCCCTAGCGCGTGACCTAAGCTGTCGATAGGACTCTGCAGCAACGTATATCCCCTGCAGTAGACGGCATTGAACGTTAAAGTTGTTGAAGTTCCTTAGCTCGGACACTGTAAATTGATCAACGGGACTCCCAGTGACCAGTCCGACAGAAAACATCAACGTATGAGGCAGTCCGACATTCGTACACCCTTAGATCATATAAGTTGATATCAAATACACATCTTGATATAAAATATCCACTTCAATCATACAGAAGTTTTTCAGGAGAAACAAAAGGCGTCACTAGGTCGCTATCAGCCGCTTACCCGATTTGGTGATAGACCGGGGTGGACCATTGTTTGGCGCTGTCGCAACTTAGCACGAAGTTGACCTCTTGTTCTTCTCCTCGACGCCCTTCACGGTGCCCACGTTCTTTTCTCCCGTCTTTCCTTACGTTTGCCATGTCCAAGGTATCCCATAACGCTCGTTTCGCGAAACGTCAACCTGCAGCTTCCAGCAGTGGTCCGTAGCTTCCAATTTGCTCCGTTGCTATCCTGGACTTATCTCATCCTATACCTTCTAGGCTGCACCTCAGGTGCTTTTTATAAGTCGCCTAAGAAAGGAGACACCATAGACACATCCCAGCCATTGAAGATTGAATGGGATACATCTTTGAACTGTTTCTCAAGCCAAGGTGTCGACATCTATCTGTACGCTCCGTATACCAGCAAGGGTCTGCTGCATGCTTGGGGTGGGGTCAGTTACAGCGCCGGAAGTTTTGAGGTATGTCTTGAAGTCCTTCAACAAGTCTACATATAGCTTATCTATTGCATAGACTGACCTTCAAGGCAGTTGGTGGAACTCTACCATCGCTCCCATTTCCCTTAACCTTGCATTTGTGGTCTCCGGAGATCCCATCTTCACTTCTTCTGTATCTCAAGGTCCTATCTTCAGTGCGACTTTCAATACGACCGACTATGGTTTGAAGCATCCTACTGGCGGGACCAACACCACGACTACTGTCTCATCCGACCCCGGCTCATCCGAATCCTCTGGTATCTTCCAAGTCATTGGAAACGCTTACAAGAATTTGGGTCTCCCGAAAGGCAGCATCGCCGCTGCCGTTATTATCCCGCTCCTTGCCATTGGCGTTGGTATCTTCTTCTACATTAGATGGACGCGCAGGAAAGAAGGGGAGAAGCGCAAGCGATGGAGTCAGGCTGTGGACAAACGCATGAGCTCTATATCAGGCGACTGGAAGACGCTCCCTCCCAATGCGCAATCCGAAGCTATTCGCCAGAGCATTGCCATCATGCGCAATTCTCGCGCAAGCATGGCCCGTATGAGCGAGATCTACGCCGATGGACGTCCATCCAGCACCTTCACCGTCGAAACCGCTGGCAATGCCGGCATTGGTACTCGTAGGGGTACCGGCGTTGGTCCCCGTCAAATGTCCATGGGTTCCGCACAAATGTCCAACCGTAAATCCGCTGTGTCTTTCGCGGCGGATACTCGCTTTTCACGTGCTTCTACTGAAGTGCCTGATGTGCCCAAGCTCGGTCGCCCGTCAACAGACCGTCCTCGCGTCAGTAATGATACCCAGCGCGGTCGTGCCAGTCGTGCGTTCCACACGGCCATTAGTGCTTCGTATCCGGATGACTTCAATGCTCAAGCCTTCAACATTAATGATTTCAACGTTCAGGACTTTGATTTGATGAGTCCGACGCAGAAAGGCGGCCCGGCCATGCTCGCTGAGAAGGATATCAAACCGTTGGATCTGAGCAGGGATGAAAATGTCCTTCCCGCCCTTAACAGTACGTTACACCCGATCTTTGCTCACATGCGGTAATGCCAACTTTGCTATAGTGATACAAGATAATCCCTTCACGAACGACCTCATCTTCTTCGCTCAATCTCCAATGGACCCAGCCTTCTCCCCGATCTCCGCGCCTCCTGCCGCTCAACTGTCCCCGACCTCCGCTACTCCCGTTAACGAGAAGACGCCTGCCAGTCCCGCTTACGGCAACGCTACCACACCCGTCGTTACCACTGTCTCTACTCCCGAGATCCCTCAGAGCCCCGGCCCCTTCTCCGCCTTCATGCGTGGTCCTTCAAATTACATGAGCCCCGACGCCATGCTCCGTGCATACGCCACCCGTGACGGCAGGAGCTCGCCCGTCCCCGGAAAGCCCATGGAGACAGCTTCACCCAGGACCCTGACCCGCACTCCCTCGGCACAAGGCTCTCTCAAGAGCAACAAGCTTGCCTACCCCGCGTTAGATGCACCTGCTGCGCCAGAACGCATTCCTGAGGCCGATTACAATCTGATCCCCGGTCCGCCACCAGTTGCGCAGGCTGGTCGCACCCTCTACCAGCCTGGTCAGAAGGACCAGAACAGAAGAAGTATGGTCGTGAGCCAGTATGGCGAGGAAGACGCGTATGGCGGGTTTGGTGTGGCGTCTTAAAGACGTCGAAGCTATATAAGCTTCTCCGCTCCTTGAATTGTACCGTTCTTTTCATATCGTGCACTCTTTTGATCATCCTGGCATTGATTGAACATCGGTCCTCTGTTCTTTGTTGGCCCGTGTTCTCACGGTGCCTGTTATCATCCTTGCACCCCACCCACAAGTGCTTATTAGTATGTTATATGTATGTGGAATCTCATGGCTATTGTGTTGCTATTTGATGCCATCTTTATACCCTTTCCCTATCCCTCCTCTACGTTACGCCTGTCCATATCCCTACTGCCCATTCCTATCCCCGACTGTGTCGCGCTTGTTGATACTATTCCTGCTCTCCCCCCCGACACATCCCCTTATATGCACAGATACCCCCTCTCTGCTCTAACACATATCCCCCTCACATGACACCTCGTGAGACGCATAGCCCCGGCCGCCGGGGCCCGTTGGTCAAAGCCGGAACCCGCAACGGCCAAAATCCCGGGTAAAAAGAAACTTTTTTCCTCTTGTCATTTTATTTTGCCGTCCTCCTGCTTTTCTTACCTGTACTGTCATATTTCTATCTAAAAAAACGCTGTTTTACCGCGGCTTCTGTTGGTGTGACGTGGTCGGCCTGAGTTCTGATAACCGGCTTGCCGCTTATTCATGCTATTCGCTTTCAGAAGTCATTTTGGGGGATGTCATTGACAGAGAGGTATGAAGAACACATGAAGTCTACGACATGATATGATGACCATGCCATATGCTTTCAGTCCTATTATAATGTTAAGGCAGATCCACGCCGGATATACAACCAGTTTTTCAATGTGTTCCCATGTTATTGTTACGCACTTCTCTTCAAGCTTAATCATTATATTTCCTTAAGGACGAGTGTGCAGATGGACAGGCACGAGGGAAGTGCTTCTGGATCGTAGCATTCTTCAAAGAATTGAATTAGATCCAGGCATACAGATACTCGGAGGTTTGATTGCATGCATAGAAGAGCACGGCACGCGAATTAAATATCTAGATTTGAATATGGCACGCACTAGAACTATGTAGTAGAAGAGGTTGGTCCTGGACTGGGTTCGGGGGGGCCTGAGTTCTGAAACTCAGAAATAACTTTTTTTAAAGCGTATTAATAGACAAATTTGGATTATATTTTCATCTTCCCGAGTCTGCAGCTTATAATACTCATAGAACTAGAAACCGGGTAACCAGTAGAACATTTTATCCGGGTTTCCTGCGCCGTCAGTTGAGTCTTGACTCCGTGGCATTTCAGAAGATCTCCACTCTTAACCCTAGCTAAATAAACTTCGTCCTGCTATTTATTTTTAATCTAGAGCTATTATCGTTATGCTTAAGTTTAAGGTTCAGTGTGTAGGGTTAGTAGCACTACTAGTTCGAAGGTTAAGCTACCTTTGACTTCACTTGGCAGAAAAAGGTGCCACACTGCCCCTGTGCATGATTTAAAATGTTGAGTCTATATCTCGGGAGCACATTTCGTACTTGTTCAAAGATACTTAGGACTATTAGTTCATCGTGATAGAAGAAGAATCCCAGGCCGGATTTCGCGACTAACATGGAAGCAAATAAGTACATACCGTCTTTGATGGCAACTAAATCTGTAAATAAATAAAAATTGTGCATTGCTCAATCTTAAGATCTACATATT